GGAGTCTGGGTACCGTGCTCGCGACGGTTGAGCTGCACTTGAGGCTTGGGGTAAGACTCTGCCAATAGTGACAGTGGAGAGACCATTTCCGACAAAAAGGTCGGGGAGGAGATGACCGGCCAGTGTGCGATAATTGCCCGAGTTTTTCTTTTTTTCTTGTGTCTTCCTATGTAAAGTCTGCCTGATGGATGTTGGGATGGGAGTTGAGCCTTTAGTATATTCCTACCTCCTATCTGAGTCTGCACGAGTGAGAAAACATGAGGATAAGGTTTGATAGGAGTCGGAAGGAAAAGGAACCCCGAGGAAGCAATGCGAGCCACTGGTGATCGATTGGGGTATGGTAGGGCAATGGCATTTGGGAGACCCGGACGAGGGGTCTGGAAACAACTCTCATCTAGAAAAGGGAAAGCAAACCATCTGACCATGAGGGGCCGTGTGGTGCGCTCATGTGGGAAACAGGACAAGCGCCGGAAAACAAGATGGCGCGATGGTTGTCGCCTCCTGTCGACTCTAGTGGTCCGGAAATGCCTATAGAGGTAAGGGATGGGGTATCTGTTGTTCTCCCGGAAGAAGGGACGTGGACCGACCTAGAACCGGCCTATGAAACCGTGATGCTGGATGAGAAGGACGTGTTCCTCTGGATAGAGACAATCTGGACTAAGGTCAGCCTGACGAGACTTTCACCCAGCTTGATGGACCTAGAATTCCGGGGAACAGTGGAAGCTCGAGGATGGGTCTACCTATCACAGGAATTGGAAAATGCAATGGTAGTGGGACTAGTATTGGGCACGGCACCGGATCAGCTGTTTAGGCAAGCGGAACGGGAAGTGGTATGGGCAGCATGTCAACAGGCAGAAATGTAGATGGAAAGGATGGAGGTGCGAGTGGAACTCGGGGACCGGAAAAATATGAGACGTCCTCTTAAGACAATGAGGTGCGTGCTACCCCCGTTTTTGGTGGATGCAGTCTTTGGGACCAGGGATAGACTGGAACGTATATGCCAATCGATGAGACACCTGAGGCTGTACCAATGTGCTAGACAAGACTTCTTTAGATTGTTGGTGGAGCTAGGGCCGTTTGTAGGAAACTGGGCGGAAGAATTAGCTGAGGTGTTAAACCTCCTCAGCGCGGCCGAAGTCTTTGTTCCTAGTCCGGTGTATTGGCAGATAGTTTACCGAAACGTGGCGGCGGGGGAAACCTTCTTGGAAGGGGTGAAAGAGATGTTCTTAGACGAGGGACACCCTGTTATGTGGACGATGTGTTTAAACTGTTCGAAGTACTGTTGTTCGACTAAGCGCAAGAAAGCCGTAGGGCCAGGCAAATATGGGAAAAATTGCTAAGATAAGGGAATGGGATGTTTGCCCATTGTAGGGTTCAGTGCGGATCACGAGCCAGGAGAACAAAGGCGAGTGTGCGATGGCACGAAGAAGGACGTTCCTTGAGGAACGCCCCTCGGGCATTGAACCGCCTAGGGAAGTACCAAGTGGGGTAGAGGTTAGCCTGCCGGCGGCAAGTGAAGGCTGGCACCAGGTGGCAGATTGGGTCGGGGTCGAGCTTGCGGAAAATATGGTTTACTTGGTGACGAAAGTTGAATGGCGTGCGGATGAGAATGGGGAATGGAACCCGGACCCACGGGGGCATGTGCGTGCAGAAGGACGGCTGTAAGTGTCAGAGGATGGGTGGAGGGAGTTCGGAGTTCGGCTGGCATCAGGAGAAGACCCGTTGAGCATGTTTGAAGGGGCATGGCAGTTAGTCTGGCGAGCGAGATATGAGTTCGCAGATCCGGGGTTGACGATGTAACAACGGACCTTAGGGTAGCCATGGTCGGGAGTTTTGAATTGCCTAGTGAAAATGTACGAATGAGGCTTCCGCCCTTCCTGCTGGAAAGGCTGGGCGGTCTGGGACTTGTTAGACGAGCAGTAGCCGACCTCGCAAGCCTGACATATGAAGATGCAATGGTACATCGAGAATACTATCGGGCCTTCCTAGAAATGGGCCCGTTCAGTGGAGAGCAAAAGTATGAGGTGTTGCGCATCCTGCGTGCTGTGTTTAGCACCAGGCCGAGGGCTCCGGTCGTGGGAAGTGAGGTCCTGTGGGGTGTCATCCGACGGGAAACAAGTCAAGGGATGGTGTACGTAGATGATCTGTACCGATTGTATGAGCCGATGGACGAAGGGACGGACCAGTAAAAGAGGTCACGGAAAGAAAAGGAAGGTTCAAGCTAGAAACCGGGGAGTGTTCGGGCGGGAGCTGAAGATTAAATTAAATAATTAAAACCGCTTGCTGTTTAAACTGTGCAGGGGACTACTAAGTCAAAAACGGCGATGGGACGCGCCCGGATGCTGCGACGGTCCACACACCCGCGGCCACCAAAGGAAAGTGGAGGCGGATGGGAGGTATCGCTCCCAGCAAGCTACATGATCCAAGGATTGGACATCGAATGGAGGGCCGTGACCCTGGAAAGAGGACAGACGTTCATGATGGTGGAATGTTTGTGGGATGGTATGAGGATTAACAGGGGACCGAGAGACGATCTGTACACTGACCTTAGGGTAACGGGGACCGTGTACCTGCCGAAACTTGGATGGTACATGCTAGGAACGGAATTGGCACTAGGTCACGGGTTGCTACCAATCTTCCAAAGGGCTACTAGGGTGTTGAACAGGGTGAGCCAGGAAGTGCGGGGGAGAAGAAACGTGGGATTAAGAACTCGGGTGGAGGTCGGAGGGTGGCGAGAGTCTAAAGCCCCATTGACAGGGTTGAGGTGTCGAGTACCTCATTTCATGGTGGACTTGGTATTCGGTAGCCTCAAGGGAGCTAGGGACCTGGTGGATTCGACCCTGGTCTGGATCCACCTCTTCCGGCCACAAACAATGAGCATGTTCTATGATGTGTCGGTCAGACATGGGCCGTTCTAGGGGAATCAGGCCTGGGAACTACTCGAATTACTCGAGATCTTGATATTCGGATTGCCCCACCTGTCGTTTGAAGAATATGAGCCAATAGTTTTCAGGGAAATAGAGATGGGGGAAAATTACCTTGCTGGGTTGGCTGACCTGTCCGAGGAACCGGATGAGCAGGGCAGGCCTGAGGGACCAGCATGAGAAAACGCGTCAGGAAGAGGTAGGGAAATAAAGGATGGGTACTAAGATAAGTTGGCAGCCGTCAGCAAAAGAGGGGCAATGGTTGGAGTTCCGACCAACCCAATGATGCGGCAGGGAGGAACTAGGAAGACCACCCGCTCCAAAAATTCTGCGGCACCTGGATGCCAATAAGCCAAAAGGGCCATACTCGATAGGAAAGCCACTTGGCCCAGGCACCGCCCTAAGAATATAAGCGCAGCAGTAAAGAAATGCCAAGCGGCGGCGGCGGCAAGGCCCCGGTAGAAGAAAACCTGAAGGACGCCCCGAGAGAAAAAAGTTAGAAGAGTCGTACTGATTAATGTAAGACGCAAAATATAAGAATAGGCGGACTTTAGGGCCGGGACTGGGCAGTTATGAACAACAGAGGAAGCTATTTTTCGCAAAAAAAATTTCCATGTGCAAGCTAGGTAAAGGAATAACGATGGAGGAAGAAATCGAGGATCAGCAGAGCAAAGAGAGTCAGGGTACGAATGGGGATGGAGAACGAAACGAGGGATCAGCAAGGGATCGAGAGTCAGCCAAACTAGAGGGAACCCGAGAAGACGGGAAAGACCTCTCAACAGGAGAAAGCTCAGGGAAAGCTGGGGGTAGCAAAAGGGGACCTCAGGAAAACAGGGAGGGGGGAAACGGTACGAGAACAAGCCCTCGGAACTTACCAGGAACCACCCCTAAGAAGACAAAAGTCGCGTATACCCGTCGTAAACTGGCCGAGATAGAAAAGCGCACTGCAGAGTTTAGGTCCGATGACTCCAATCAAGGCAAAGCTTATCGAGCAGATGATGGCCGGGAATGAGGGGGACCCCCAAGGCGCAGGGTCACAAGAGGGGCGAAGGACCGGTTAGGATGAGGCCAGGTATGAAGGAAAGGATAATAGCCACAAGGGAACGCCTAGCAAGAAGGGGAAGGACAAAGACCACCCCCCGGCGGAAGGAACGGAAAACGCTATGACCCCACCCGCCATCGACAGCGGCACTAGCAGACTACCCGCCACGCCGAAAGTAACAGGGGCGTGTGCAGACTCTGGAGCCTTAGGGAAAGAGTGCTAGGATGGTTCAACCCAGAAGGAACGTCGAAAACCAGGGAGAAGCAGAGGGAAAGCAAGGAAGGGGGAGGGACCAATGCAGCCGGAGAAGCGGGTGGCTCTGAAGATGGTCTCAAGAGAGTAGTCGCCACCCTCACCAGGACACTGAACAAGAACCAGGGGTATCTCGCAGATGCAAAAAAGAAACTCGCGTTCGATGGGGCCAACATTACGAAGTTTCTAATAGACTATGAGAAAGGGCAACACGTGTCGCTAAGCTTGGGAAGGGACATTATGGCCATCGTCGCCTCCAGTGGATCCTGGAAAGAAACCAGGAATGAGATAATGAGGAAATAACTGAAGGCAGAGAAAATGGCAACAGAGGCCGAATTAGCCGCGGTTCAGAGGAAAAACTATGCGACTTACAACGATTTCCTAAGGGCGTTCACGTTAGTGGCTCTGTGAATTCCCGGGGTAACGGACCGCATAATGAGTAAATACTTCCTCAGGCAGTTTTTCGAGTGACAACGACATGAGGACATAAACGAAGCAATGCCCATCCAGCATCAGATTCCATTCCTCAGGTGTCATTCGTAACCAGAATCGAAGGTAAGCCCGACCCCAGGCAATCTCCCCAGCAAGACACGCACTCAGAACTGCGAGTACATGCAACTTTTCGAGCAGGCAGGCCAAAGAGCTCTCAACAAGTGGTTTTAAACACGCTATACGGTTGCACGCTCGTCGTTTCGATCGGATTCCTCCGATCAGTTTCCCTTGACGGGATTCTCAGACGTGGAGGGCTTCTCAGCTCCCTCAGTCGACCGTGCTTCAGTCTTGCGCGACGAAGGTTCCGGAGTGTTCGCTGGCTTCTCCCCTTTTAACATGTCCGTGTATTCTTGGAGGTCACTCCTCGCCAGTTCCTATGCTCCCAGATCTTTCTTGAAGTATGGGATATTTTTCTGCTTGCACAGCTCTTGGACGCGCATGTAATGCAAGGAGCTATAAAATTCCTGCCTCATCTTCATATAAGCCGCAAGGCGGCCCTCATCACTCTCTTCTTCGTCGTCTTTGAGAGTTGCATTCTGGACGATATCCACATCTTCCTCCTCTTCCAGCACTTCGTCTTCTGGTGCTGATGCTGGTATATTCTCACTGATGGGAGCTTTGCCTTTTGCATCCGCCAACTGTTGCAACAGCGCAGCCAGCATGGACTTTATATCTCCCAGTTCGCTGCTTGTCTCCATCTTTGGTTGGAGATTCTGCTTTACAGAACCAGCCTTGTCTCCTTCGTCTTCGGACGATATATCAATACGTTTCGTCCGTGGCTTCGTCTTACTCCCACGTGATCTAACTCCATCGATCCGAGGTGAGTTACCAAACGGCGTCCGTTCACTCATCCGTTTGCGCTTCTCGCTGCTAGACAGTTCATGCCCCTCACTTTCCGCGGCATCCTTCTCGGCGGCGGCTTTCTCGAGCGCGACTTTCTCCACTCGCAGCCTTGCCAATTCCGCTTTATCATCAGTAGTGACTTTCACCTTCTGATCAACTTCCTGAAGCTTCTCCGTTATGAGTTTGAGAGAACTTTCGAAGGTGGTGGTGACCCAAGCTTTTAGCTCATCTGTCTTGACAAATGACTTTGTTCCTTCAACGGACGGCACATCCGATTGACTCCAATGCGTATACCGGTCCTTCGATTCCCGGACAGCCGCTTCTTCGCCTCCTCAACTGCCTTGTTCATCTTAATGCCTTCAAGAATATCCATGTATTCTTTCGTGAAGTAAGTTCTGTTTCCGGGACCCGGAAATTCATTCGCCGTCGGGTCGTTACGAGCAGCGTTCTGAGCATTGGTCGGCCCACTCAGTACGGCCTGGTGTGATGCCGTTTGGTTGACTGGAGGAAGGTTCGCAGGGGGCGGCATACTGACGGGAGGCAGAGCCACCCACTGCCCATTGATTGGCCACTGCCCTGGCATCTGCCATGGTTGAATGCCCCATGGTTGCGGAAATGGACCATGTTGTACCATCGGATACTCTACAGGCGCAACAGGCGTAGCGGTCATTGCAGGTTGTACTGGAGCGGCAGCCTGCGCTGCGATCGGCTGCTGATATGGTGCCCCATAGTCGTGTTGATTAACACCAGGAGGATAGACTGGACCTGGCACATTATACGTGGCAGGGTTCGTCTGTCCGCCGCTCGTACTACCGGTGTTCTCCATCCAATAACGGTCGTCGTTGGACCACCGTCCGCGGCGACCTCCTGCTTTACTACCACGTCCTCGTCCAGTCATGCGACCGATGGTGAAGCCAGCTACAATCCCGCAACTCACACTTAGTTCAATCACCCACTTGGCTTCAACCGTGCTCAGCAGTGTAACCTCCCGCCAGTTGATGCAGATAACCATACAACACCTTCCCACTTCGTGTTGCACCGACCGCTCTCTCGTGCTTGGATTCTTCGGACACCTGTGTGCCTTCCGCAACTATGCGAGGTGCGAAGCTACTCCGCGCGCCTCCCCTGATAGACGAGATGCAGCTTGATTACCACCTTCGCCCAGAGGCTTCATGATCACAATATTCACAGGCTACTAGATTAATCTCTAGTAAGCGCAAGATATCGCCGAACACAAACAGATCCCCCAGGGTAATGTGAGAATGACACTAGGGGTAAAATCGAGAATGATAATGGCGAAGGGCGGTAAACGCGAGATACGAGTCATATGACGGTAAAGGAGAAATGAAAAGACCGCACCTCGATCACAGCATGAGCGCATAATGAAACGTAAAAATAAGTCGAGCATGAAATACCACTTAAAATATCGACTCGAGATATCAAATAATCAAATTAAACTCTCGACACATATCAAATTAAATACCAAATAAAATATCAAATTCCATATCGAAATATAAAATCGATTCAAAATGTCGATTTAAAATATCGATTTACAATATCGATTTACAAGCAATAAAATTGCACGGCAATGCACGACTACACCGGAGTGTTGTCGACACCCTACGCACGTTCCCAGGCCACGGCAAGGTCGAGCATAAAGCTCTCTACCATCAGAATTCACAAAATGGTATCCAATAAACAAGAAGGTGACATGAGTTTTACTATCATGGCGAAATCACCATCTCCCCGGCATCTCCTCAACGTCCACTCGTTGAGGATCCTAATCCTTCTACTCATTCGCCACTCAGATTGAGGAACTCTTTACCATTCCTACTACCTTAAATACTATGCTAATACCCTTGGTTCGCGGCGCTTACGCTGCTCGACCACTTTCCATCCCTCGTTTAAAAAAGAAAAAAGAAAAAAAAAGAAAAAAAATTCGACCTCAGACTAGGAGCAGCTTCAGTGGGCGCCAGCCATACCTCTCGCGAGCCCCTACGACAGGATAGGGCCTACGCGAGGCACGACTTACCTCCACCTTACGGGAGTTGTCACCTGCCTTCAGTGGGCGTATCCGCGCCGAGCCACCAACCCACGATACGAAAGCTGATCAGTTGCAATAGCAGAGGTGGACCAGCCGAGGGCATTTTCTCGTTCGCCGTAGCATAGGGGGTACGCGTGGTATTACGCCTCTATCGAACCCGCACGCAAACCAACATCTTGGGGGGCTGAGGTCCCAAGCGCGACTCGTCGCCGGTCGACTAGGATGCATCCCACACGCCACGGGCACACCGCTATAAAGAACATAAAAATAAAACACGCACACGCACACATACAGAACGACACTGAACAAACAACGCGACAACACTCCTAGTCCCTTACTGGTCATCTCATAACTTTCCGATGCGGAAACCGGATAGGCGTCACGCGAGAGACTTAGTATAAAACCGCGCGGACGCAGGGCTAACTCATATCGACTCGCAATGCAAGCGTATGCAAGCGGTCGCAGTGATGGCGTACTATGTAGTACCCATACTCATGCGATCCTCATTAATCTCGAGGGTCTCGTTCGACACTCAAGTGTCGGCTGACATGCGCCCGGAGGGTTAATCTCTCGATGCTGAACAACCGCCAAGCGCACAACCATTGCATAAATAAACACGAAACATAGCATTAGGAAGAAATTTTGTAACTAATCCTTCAATTTCTATAAGATTTTGCTTACTCATATTTGTTTTATTCTTGATTGAAAAATTGATTACAATTTGTATATTTATTCATCAAAGTTTCTACCACACCCTCTTCTGCACCCTGCGGAGAGTGGGTGGTACACAGATTCATATTGTGGTGGCAATCGTCTCTTATCGCCCTGGAGACCAGCTCCATCATCTAGGGCCTGGAGGGAAATCAAGGGGTTTGACTTTGACGGTTGCCACAGACTACAACGTCTAACTGTAAAAATGTCTTAAAAGCAAAGGATACAAAGAGGTCTCCCTCTTCTCTCAAACACACGATCTGTTTAACCCTTGCGCGTGGTCTCAGTAGGCCCCACGAAACACTCAAGACATATGTATTTACATATGTATAAAGGGTTATAAATATGTGACGATCACTTCTCACAATCACAGTGGGGGCTCCTCTCAGCCATATATATATGTATGTGAGCGCGGACAGTCAAATCCATAGTCCGAATCACCAAACATACCTGCAATCACATCAAAGATTCAACCAAAAAGTCCAAGCACTACACAGGGTCAACTTCAACCATTCTCTACACTCACACCCCTTGCTTTTAGCTATACAAGCCTCACTCTTGTGCAACTCCTCTAAATAAAATACTCAGTACTTTTCTTTAAATGGCCATTCAAAATATAGTCCGGGTGAAAACACAACAAAACAGTTCAAATCACAAGGCTAAAACCTTTAGGTTGAGTGGCAGGAGTGAATTGGAGTTGAATCGTAAACCGACGAATCGGCAACCGAATTGTTATGAGTGATAACAGAAGATGATCCTTGTAGGATCAAGTTGAATCTAGGCCAAATCCTGAATCAATCGATCAAGAAGACCTGTAACACAAGACAGGCTAATCCCCAGGCTAAACCTATAGGTCCCTGGAGAATAATCCCCATATCACGATCCCACTCAAATCATCCTAGTTAACTAAGCCTAAGTCTACCTCTAAGCAAGTGCCAAAAGAAAGGTAGACCGTAGTAGAATCCTCTCTATACAGAGTGGATTTTTCAGAATTGCCACCTGTCAAAATATAATTTATCTCCTTTAAACTAAGAAAATTTCGGCAGCGCTTCCCGTAGGAAAAGTGTCTTTTCATAATTTATATCAGCTTGAATATAAACACAGAAATAGTCTTTGACTTTCCAAAGTCAAATTTTGTCCAACTCCTTGAACCAGCAAAAATTTGGACAGCACTCCCTTTAGAAAAGGAGACTTTCCAGATTTATACTAGGTCATACATGAACTCAAACATACAACCTGAGTTCAACTACGACAAAATTTAACTAACTCCTTAGATTTGTAGAAAGTTCAGCAGCGCTTCCCGTAGAGAAAGTGTTATTCCAAGATTTATACAAAGCTAAGTTCAGAATATAAAGTGATTTTGACTTTTCAAGGTCTAATTTTGTCTAACTCCCTGAATTAGCAAAAATTTGGGCAACACTCCCTTTAGAAAAGGAGGTGTTTCAAATTTTTACTAAGTCAAAAGGTCAGAAAAGATGGACCCTGAAAAATACAAAATCTGGCCAACTCCTTGGTTTTGTAGAAATTTCGGCAGCGCTTCCCGTAGAGAAAGTGGCTTACCAAGATTTATACGAGGCCAAGTATAACACAAGATATCGGAAAATGCAGAAATTGATCTAAGTAAAATAAAGTCAACTCAGAAAATGCAGGAACTGAAACTAACTCCTATGGCTGTAGCACGTGGTGAGCAGCTAAAACAACTACCTATCAAACTAAAACTCAGAATAAGTAGTAGCCTCACTCAGCCACATGCACTCCAAACCACAAAGGTAAGTACTCTCACCATCCCAAAGTCAATTTAACAAACAATAGTTCATAGTATTTCAATGCTTTATCCCCTTATACCCAGCTTACATAGGGCATAAAGCTAGACCACCCAAACTTATGGAACATGTCTAGCTCAACTATGGAGTATACACAAATACTGGGCACAACAACTTTTCTCTTCTTTGGGCATGTGACTAGGCCACCCTAGTCGCCCTGAACTGTTTAAATTTCCAAAATTTATATAATTGTTTGCACTTAGTCTTTTGAGGTAGCATATAACTGGGCCGATCATCTTCAGCTCAAGATGGTTTACCTGATGGTTCCCTGATGGTTCCCTGATGGTTCCCTGCCTCCAGAACCTCGCCTAGGTTCCAGCAGAGCTCCCGCAATCGGTGGGTTGACTCCCCACAGGGTCTTGTTGCGGTCGTATGGTTTGCAATCCCGCCTGCCGCCTTCCTCTCAGAACTGGATTAGACTTAATAAGAAAGGCAGAAAATGGGAGTTTCAAACTCTCGAGATACAAGAAGGGGACAACTCAACTCCCAAGAGGGGGCCTTGATACCTTCATTCGCCTGAGGGTCCCGCAATGGCAACCAATGTAACAACTTGTTCGGCTTCTGACGTCGAACTGTCGAAATCAATCCCCTAACGATCTCCCAAATCGCAGAACTAACCCCCTACTTGTCCAGTCTGACCACCTCCCCGAGCCTCAACACCTTTCCTCAACCCAATCGCCGCCGCATAGCAGTCTGTAACAGCTGGCAATAGTCGGCGGTAGCGTGCAGCAGTCGGCAGCAATCAACAGCAGACAGCGGCTGTCCGTGCACAGTCAACAGATCCCGCATCAGTTTGTGCACAGTCAGCAGATGCAGCAGCGGTCCGCACACAGTCAACCGACGCAGCAGCAGTTCGCCGCAGTCAACCTCTTGCAACCTAACCACTCCCTCTATATCATAATTTCACCTCCCAACTGGAACTGTAGTTATACTGTTCAAAACAGCCACCGTACCAAAAGCAGTGTTGCAGTCCACAACGGTCTCCGCAACTGCTATGGTGGACAGCGCAGTCATAATGAACAGCAAGGCATACGATTATGCTGTTGCAAAGATTGTCGTAGTGACCAGAAGGCACAACGGTGTGCAGCCCCAGCACCAAGAACATCAGTATGCCACGAGATGTCGAGCTGGCAGCAAAGATACAGCAGCAATTGCCTCATAACAATGCCCCGCCTGGGCTAAGCTTGATTGTGCTGCGCGTCCCAGTGCATAAGCGACTCGTGGTTGGGCTGGTACACTCGGGCTCTCCTCCCAACGACTATTGTTCCTTGGGCGATACACCTGCAGATAGATCCGTCATTAGCTTTGGCTGAGAAGGCCCCGTCCCTGCTCGCTTGCCTGTGGCTGCCCCACCAGTTTAGCAGGTGGAAATCGAAAACGAATATTTCACATGAATGTGAGTAGGTGCATTCCCTGTTTATTCCCTCCACAAGCCCAACCCGTGCAGGCCATAGCAGTCGAACCGCCCCACGGACCGTGGATCTGATCTCGCCGAATAGAAACGTAGTGCTCTGGAGC